AAAAAAAGATTTTGATGAAGACATAAAAGGTGATTTTTGAATTAGCAGATGACACAAAGAAGAAAAGGAATAGTTAATGTATTAGAATACAAAATAGTAAATTAGCTCTCAATACCATGAAACAATAAGCAAAACGAACAAAACTAATCTCAAGCAAAAAAGTAGAATTCTGAACTTCAGTAAAGATTAAAATATGACAAATACTAAATGACCAATAATTAGTTTTATAATAATTATTTTCTTTCAGACCTGAGAATTTTAGTTGACTTCAAACTCCATATAAGTCAACAGCTATATATGAGACTGCTCTAAATTTTAACATAATATTGGTTTTCTTGGTTTTTTAAACTACATCTGGATTGCTATATCAAGTTGCAAATAATCAGTTTTAAGAAGGACCTCAATGAATAAGAGTATCTTCCAGGCCAGGGAATGAAGTAGGGTGGAATAGTAGTCCAAAGAGCTAATAAAAGGATAGTCTTATAAGATTGTTCTAGAATGATAGAAATAAGATCAACAATTGTTTCTGGTGGGAAGTGGGGAAGGTGATATTGACTGGGACAAGGCATGAAGGAACATTGTGAGATAAATAAAATAATTTTGTGTCTTGCTAGGAAAGTCACACAAGTGTATACATTTATCACCATCACCATCTGTCAATTTGTTGTACAATGGTGACTTGATTGGTGCTATGATGCTGGAAGCTATACTATCAGTATTCCAAATGCCAGAGGCATCCATGGCAGTTTCAGCAGAGCTTCCAAGACTAAGACGGACTAGAAAGAAAAGCCAGTAAAAACTCAGTGGATCACAATAGAATATTGTCTGATAGAGCGTTGGATGATGAGCTCCCTAGAGCCCTGTTGGCCATTTCTCAACAATTCTAGTGCTACTATCCCAGGTCCAGTCACTATCATCTCTCCAGACCATTAGAATAAATTTCATACAGCCTCACACTTGCTTCCCAAGGTCTATTCTCCACACAACAAGAAAGACCCTTTCCAATATACAGTGGCCATAAAAATGGACGTGAGCAAACTAAGAATTGTGAAAATGGCACAGGACCTAGCAACATTTCATTCTGTTATACATAGGGTTGCCATGAGTTGGAGATGACTCATAAGAATTGAGTTTCAGCTCAATTTCCAATTTCTAATGGGAGTTCTCCCAAAATGGAAGCTCCTAGTGAGCTCTGGTAGCATAGTGCCTAAGGCACTTGATAACCAGAAGGCTGGCAGTTCAAACCCATCAGCCACTCCTCGGAAAGAAGGTTGGGCAATCTACTTCCATAGTGATACTGCCTCAGAAACCCAAGGAGGGGTCGCTATGAGTTGGGTCCAACTGGTTGGCAAACAACAACAACAACAACAGTGAAGTAAAAACATCCCAAAATGTGTCCAAGTAAAGACTTATGGCCTGCTATCAAAAAAAAACTGCAAAACGGATTCCTTCATTGGAAGAAATCTAGATAAGTCGTTTTCAAACTGCAGTGTGTAATCCATGGAAGGATCAGGAATTCAATTAGGTGAGGTATAACCAGTGATGAAAATAGAGAACAAAATATAGGTTTTCCCAACGTGGAACAAAACTCAAAATCATATTAAAAAAAAAAGGACCAGGTCTGATAGAGCCTGGTGAAACCGCTGAGACTATGGCCCCTAGCTGCCCTTAAGGTCTGGAATTGAACCTACTCCTGTGGCTTCCAGTCAAACAAAAGATAGGCATATGAACTGAACATTTATTTATATTAGGTAGATACACTCCTTGGAGAGATCAGTCATGGGAGAATAGAAGAGCTGTGTATGCACAGGGAGACAGCTCAGGGGGACAAGAGTGCGTGGGAGGGAAGGACACACAGAAGAGGTGGCTATGGAAACGAAGTGGGAGGAGAGTTGTTGCATTGTGGGAAATTCCAGTCAATGGAATGAGACAAAGTGTATGTCAACTGTTGTGTAGAAGATGAATTTGCTCTGTACATTTCCAGCCAAATCACAATAAAAATTTTTAAAAAATGAAAATGTAGGTTTTCCTTTTACATAAACACAAACAAAACAAACAAACCTACTGCCTTCAAGTCGATTCCAACTCATAGCAATCCATAGAGTTTCCAAAGCTATATAAATCTTTATGGAAGTAGATTACCTCATCTTCCTTTCATGGAACGGCTAGTGGGTTTGAATGGCCAACATTCTGGTTAGCAACCAAATGCCTTAACCACTGCACCACCAGAGCTCTTTCTCACATAAGCAAAGATAGGAATTTTGTGTGAATGATGCAGGACCAAGCAGTGTTTTGTTCTGTTGTACACGGGGTTGCTATGAGTCAGAACCAATCGGACTGCACCTAACAACAACAGTTATTATCTTATGAAATTTCTATTCTTTATTTTTAAATACACATACATATATATATTTATGTATGTACTGGGCACAATGTATGTCTCACTGTAGGTTATGGTCAAATATATGAAAACCACCAGGCTAAATTATCTTACAGTGTTTTAAAAGGTTACAAAACTCTTCATACATTAATAACTAGTTTAATTGAGTGTAAGTGAAAATTAGCTCTTTTCTAAAGAAAAAAAATGCTTTGAATTACATACCATTGACCTTTATGGGATTATCTCTGATTTGGGAAGTTACAGCTTTCAGCCTCATAGTTTTTCCTTTTGCTTTTTACATATATTTTTGGAAATCCATAAAATTAGCAACATCTGATTGGAAAAAAAGGTTAACTCTTCACATTTTGCTAACGTTGTATATAAGCTTAGATTCATTCTTTCCTGACATTTCCATGAAAGATGCAGTGCCTTCCAGAAAGAACCCATTTCCATTTATATTTCTGTTAAATGAAAAAGTTATTTTTCTTCTAAAGCCAAGTGGAGTAGAAAATAAGTAGGTAAGAAATCTTTCAAAATTTATTTTGTGGGTACAGTCTTGGCAGTTTATACAAATTTGTGATTTCTTTAGGAAGGAAATAGGCTACCTAGTGATCTTACATCTTTATCTCATAAGTTATACCCAGCTGATCTTTGTGTTTCTTTGGAATCAAGTTCACTGACAGCTGCCTATGTATCCAGGGTAGCTGGGTAAGAATGTGCAAAGCAGGTAACTTTTGAGGTGTATGTGCCTAGAGGAACACTTAGGAGTTGTTTTGGGTTAAACTGTATCCTCCAAAAAGAGATGTTGAAGTTCTAACCTATAGTACTGAAAACATAACCTTTTCTGGAAATAGAGTCTTGGAAGATGTTACCAGTTAATGTGAGGTTATACTGGAATAGAGTGGGCCATAAGCCAAAATGACTGGTGTCCTTATTAAAAGAAGAGAAGAGACACAGACATAGATGCAGATAGAAGGCAGCCTTGTGAAGATAGAAGCAGAGATGGAAGTAAAAATGCCCCAAACTAAGGAATACCTGGGGTAAACAGAAACTGGAAGAGACAAAGAAGGACCTGTCTCTAGAGCTTTCAGAAAGAGCATGGCCCTGTCAACATACTGGATTTAGACTTCTGGCCTCCAGAACTGAGAGAATATATTGCAGTTGTTTTAAGCCACTCAGTCTGTGGTACTTTGTCATGGCATCCCAAGGAAACTTATACCAGAGTCTACCAAGTGAGAAGGTGGAGATGCCTCGGCAGAAGCTCACAGATGTGGAAAAGCATGACCTGTTCACAGAACAAAGAGAAGAGATCCTTTGCAATAGGCGCATAAGGATGGTGACCAAAGAAAACAAAGCAATTGCCGTCAAGTTGATTCCAACTCACGAAAACCTACAGGTGCAGAGTAGAACTGGGCTCCGTGGGATGGTCAAGGCTGTAATCTTTGGAAAGCAGATCACCAGGTACTTCTTCTGAGGCCCCTTTGGGTGGACATGAACTTCCAACTTTTTAGTTAGCAGCCAAATGCATAACCATCGGCCCAACCCACAGACTCCAAAAGATGAATCTAAAAAGGTCAGTTAAAGCTGTGGAGTGTGGGGCCAGTACTGTAGGCAAAGAAAGCTGTGA